AAAGACCAACATTTCAGTTTCTCAGCTGACACCAGTAATCTGACATTCACTTTTGTACTAGAGGCTTTTTTTCCTGTGAGTTTTATTAAAAGCTTTAGATTTTGCTTTTTTCAACTACCCCTCCTTGACAACATTGTGAAACCACCACATAAATCACTGTCAGTGGATAGTTTTGTTACTAGAGCGCTTAAGCCCTTCCCTTGCAAAATGCTGCAGAAAGAGCTGAAGTACCACCAGATTTTCAGAGGTATTTAAGAGGCCAAACTCACTTTGAAATTGAAGAGTCCCTAAATATCTTTAAAGACCCCAGCCCTAAATCTCTACAAGGATTCCTCACTGACACTTTCCTACTGCTCTCCAACAAGGCTGGGGGGAAACCCTCTATAAAAAGCTGTCCCGGGCTCCTGCCACACGGTGACGCTAAGAAAAGTGAGCTAAGAGGTGAGCTAAGAGAAGTGCCCACTTTGGGACTATTCAAAAGTGTCTCTGTTGTCCCTCCAGAATCCCAAAATGTGCCAGGGAGAGGACAAGGGAGGCCACTGGCTTCCCCCTCTACAAAGCAAATGGAGACCCCCTTCCATGAGCTCATCCACTGGTGGAGACCTGGACTGCTCTCAGCGTCCAATGCACCGCACATAGCTGGTCATCGTGGTTCAAGCCACGTTGTCATGAAAAGTCATCACTTTCTAATTATTGCATTTTAAGGTAGCGTTTCCAGTTACCAGCTTGCATTTGCAGAAACAGAATCTAATTTCCTTCCCTCCCCCTTTTTCCTTTTCTATGGGGAGATGAATGAAGGGGAATTCTTGTCAATAGAAATTAAAACGCAGTAAATGAACAAGTGCACCTAGTGAACCAGCACTGTATTTTCCTTGCTGTGGTCTTTTGTTCATGTTGCAAATTGATTCTGAGATGACACTAACACTGGGTAATCTAACCCGGGCAGTTATGAGGGGCCCAATCCTTACAAAGCGTAAGTCCAGGCACAGTCAGTGGGAACTGAGGGCAATCAATACCTTTGGAGGGTTAATCCTATGAAATGTGCAATAAGCAGTTCCCACTTCCCCAGATAGATACAGAAGCTTCAAAACCAGCAGAATAAATCCCCAGTAAGGAAAAATAAAAAAAAAAAATAAAAAAAAAAAAAAAAGAGAGTGAGTTCCCGCTTTCAGCTACATTCAGTGCAACCTCTTTGAGATGAAGGGATGTACCAGAAAGAGAATCCTGCCAGGGCCATTCCTGTAGATACAAATTTTTAGATCAGAGCCAAGTGAACTGTCACTGCTTTTTACTTAAGATAATTCTTCAGGCTTTACTAATTACGAACTAACAATTCTTGCAGATGAGCTGTGAAACCCAGGGAAGAATACCAGCAGTATGTTTTAAATCAAAGTGTTTACATCAGGAATGATTCATTTTTTCCATGAGGAATGACTTGTGAGACAGGCAGTCTTAGCACTGCCATAAATCTGCGTGGGAATTAAAACTGGGGAAGAGAATAACAAAGGGAAGTTGCTATCCCCACCTCCCCTGCCTCAGCCCCACCTCTGGAGACAGAATTTACATTAACAAGGGGCTCCAACTACCACTGCAATCAGTGTTTGAGAAACACAAGGTTTTAAATCCATTTAAGAACACTGTGATTAAGCTTAGTAACCCTGCTCTCCTCAATAAAGAAAAGGTGCAACACATGAAAGGAAATGCCAGCATCTTTGTCATGAGCCCTGAAGTTTTTAAAAAGAAAAAAGTTTTTAAAAAGTTAAAAAAAAACAAAAACAAAACCCCCACACTTTGTGAGCAGTGTCGAAACAGTGCTTAAGAAATCCATAACAAAAAAGACAGAAAACAAAAATTTCTGGTTTAGGCCTGTATGTTTTCCCTTTTACCTCTTGGAGGACAGAAGGCTGTGCGCTCAGCACGAGGCTGCTCTCATTCTCAGTTGCTAAATGGTTGAGGGGCTCTCTGGCAGTGCAGAAGGGCCGCCAGCTCCATAGCACGTTTCATCCCAGCTGTTTGAAAAGACGGTCCACTTGAAACACAACCATTATCCCCACCCACACTCTGCAGGAGAGCAAACTCCCCCTCAATGAGGTATTTATTCCACGTATATGGTAACTATTATTTCCAACATTTACAACATCAGTCATTTTAATTAGGAAAAAAATTATAACAACAAAAAATCCTGCAACGCACATACACAGAGACACGCATATTTACATGTAGAAATGCAAAGTATTCAAGTTGTTTCTAATAACTGCAGCTCCTGGAGGCGACATGCGTTCCACATGCAATTGACTTAAATGCTCTTTTCTTGCCATAAAAATATACAGATGTCCTTCTTCAAAAAAATTATTTTCCCTTTTCCTGTGTTACAGGAAGCCTGCCCACACTTTCAAATACAAAGTGGGTATAAATAGAAGCACAAATTAGGCATCTTGAAAAGTCTATATTTTCCAACCACAGGGAAACTAAGGAATTACTGTGTTTACATACCTGACTATGTTGAATTAAAACAGTATTTTCTATCCATATATCCAGCAAAACTGGCAAGAAACTAAGGAAGGGAACGATAGACTTGCTGGTTCTTCACCTGTTGCTACAGTGGGACTGGGGTATGTTTACATTATTCAGCCTTCTTCATATGGACCACTATAAGTGTCAGCCTGAATACAGTCACCACTTTGATGAAAGCATGTCTTACATATATAAATGATACAACTACTATGAAAATTTCAGTAAGCCTGTCCGCTTTCCTAAAAATCTAACTAGACATTTGTCTCTTTAGTTGTCCTTCTGTATCACATCTATTAAAGGTAAATAAAAGCATGATGGCTCTTTATATGACATCAATAGCTTGAGGGATTTTATAAATCAGTGAGGACAAATGTACAACTCGCTACAGCAGCAGTGGAGCAGGTCTGCCCATCTGATGTTTTCTGACTTAGACTTCTGCTTTAAGATCATGTTGCTCATTTAAAATTAACTCATCTCCTGTTTCTCTGCTGTTACATGCTGGATAACTTCTGCTGTTCTCTCAACTTCTGACATCAATGTTTTTCTAGTAGCCCACACATCCTAACTAGCTAGCATTATTGGTCACAATACAGACATAGTAGCTTCATTAAATCTTGAGAACTCTCATCAAAAGGCAAATTCAATAAAATAAAACTAAATAAACTAAATGCAAACCACTCAGACTCATTCTGATCGGCCAGCCCTTTTTCTTCAGTCTGTATCTTCAGTAGTATCAATAACACTTTGAACTAGATTTAAGGGGTGAGCTGGCAGCTGGTCAGATGGTCAAAATGGCAATCATCACCACTAAATTCAGCATAAGGTTTGTTGTTTGGGGGGTTGTTTTTGTCACACATTTCATCTCTCCCCAGCTGTACTGCCTACAAACAGAGAAGCTATTTTGCTTCCCCAATAAGATTTTTTTTTTAAGTGAGATTTGGGGGTTGCATTAACAAACCGTAAGCTACGAATGGTGTCTCCAACCTGCAAGCTAGTATTTCCATGCACTGCTGTTTGTGAGCAGTCGTTTGCTCTGTACATCCACGCCTCTCTGGCAGACAAGTCTGCTGCTGGTGTGCTGCAGCTCATCCTCCTCAGCAGAAAGATGAGTAACTCCCCCAGAGGGTTTGAGCAGGGCTGTGTGAGAGAGGAGGAGGAGGAGGAGGGCGTACAGAAACCGGCTGCCTACACTGGAAGAAAGCTCAAAAGCTTAACTGCAAACTTTTCCCCTAAATACTGATCTAAACTATAAAGACAACAAGTGTTCGTTTTCTGGTAATACCTCCATCCTTATTAACAATCAGGCTCCTCTTTTTTTTTTTTTTTTAAAAGGAGGTTGGTGAGACTTAAGGTTGTGTGAGACATACTTTGATCTGCACCCTGATGAGTGAACATTCCCCTTTGCTGCTAGCCTAACTAATGAAGGGATAAAATTAGCTTTTATCCCTGGCACTTTCTTTAGCAAAAAAACATGCACTAATCAGCTGTCCTCACTAATCAGTTGTCTGGCTAATGACCTTTTGCCTTAAAACACTAGAATTTCTGAATGATGTGAGGAAAAAAAAAAAACAATGCAGACTGGCCCCTCTTTGTGGGTCCTAAGCCTATCATCTGGAACTGGAGACTGGAAGGTTAAATGGCAAATCTGTAGCCTGACTGGGTGATAAATCTATAATCAAAAGGCACAAGCCTTGACACCTCAAGATGTACTTCATTACTACACAACTAAATGATTTTTTTTTTCTTTTTTGTAAACTAGAAGCAGATGAAAAAAATTGCTTAACTCCCTCATATTTTGCCTGTGGAGAAATCCATTCCACATCTGTGTTCAAGTGTCAGTTAATTTCTTATTTTTTTATTAATGCCTGAGCAGGAATTCAGAAGTTGAAACCATTTGCCTTTTTCACCCCCCCCGTACAACAACTTCAGGGAACTGTAGCTGGGGAAGAAAATTGCAAAACCACTCCATCAGCCCACATACTCAAACAGACACGTGAATCCCTAAAAAACCTCCAAAACAAAACAAAAAACCCAAAAACACAGCAATAAACCTTCCAATCCCCCCCCCTTCAAATTCTCATTGTACAAGGCACAGTCCTTCCTCCTCTTAACACCATACTTTAACATTGTTTTAAAAGAGGGATTTTAAGGCCTGTTTCATTTTCCTTCTCTGCTTTCTTTAATGAGGCTTTTTTTCTTCATGTATTAAGGGAGGTGGAGCAACCCTGGATGGCTGAGGAGGATTAGCAACAGATGAGATGTCCTGTGGAAGTTGCTTTGCAGAGGCCTGTGATAATTTCGAGCTGCAATGCAACTGCCCCCTGGTTTTTAACTTCAGAAAAAAGATTGTATTACCTCAACCCCCCCGCCCTTCCCCAGACAAAGCAGTTCTCCCTGGGAACGATGCAAGGTGACAAATAAAACTGCATTAAATTTGACAGCCTTCCAACTTCGCAGCCCCAAATGAACCAGCAATCGATACTCACGATAATGAGGGTCCATGTAACCGTTTCGGGGGTCCATGGTAAAGAGCGTCCCGCGGTAAGGTACAGAAGGTTCGGGAAGGTGCGATATAGATCCATGGATCTCCTTCTTGATTAATGAGGCCCTTTCCTCACTCGACGTGGAAGGCTCTTCACTGATCTTGCCGAGGCCTTGCCCACCCTGCGGCTGCATTGTGATCGCGTTCCTTCTCTCTCTGTGATAGGTCTGCCCAGGACTTTCATCCTCTGCAAAAAAACGAGGGAGAAGAAAGAGAGAAGGGAAGGAGAAAGAGAGAGACACACTTTTAGCCCATTTATAGCAAATACAATAAAGAAAAGTTCTCCCCCCCCGCCCTCCTCCTCACTACCCCCTCCTCACAGTGTAAGTTTGTGACAGTAGGTGCATGTGTGGCTATGAGAGATGGTCTGGGGAAGCCCGCCCGTTCAGAGCGGGCAGCTGCCGAGCGGTAGATCATCGTCACCCATGCACCGATGCTCCTACCGGCGGGGCTATCAATCCTGTGAGAACAGACACAGGCTTGCTGTTCTCTTGCCTCTGGGACAAGGAGACTGGGAGTTTGGGCTGCCTGACAGGGAGGCAGAAAACAATTTGTCACAAAGAGGAGATGATGAACCCCGCTGGCTGGGCCTAAATCAAACCTAGCCACCCACTGCTGCTCCGCAGCCCGGCTCCAGTCCCTGGAGGTTTGCTTGTGTGAGAGGCTGGAGCCTTGCAGGAAGGTTGTTAGCAATCAGAAATAAGGTGGGCAACAATAAAATGGGTAAAATTGCTCAAGATACAGCACCAGCAGCATCAGGCAGGCGCAAGTGAGGCCACCCGCTCTAACAGTGTCACCACAAGGACGCTTGTGGAGGGCAGTGGAGCGTGCTCCCCCCTCCTTTTTCCCCATATCCACACACACAAACCCACAAATTCTTAATGACCAAGGGGAAAAGGAAAAAAGAAATAGGAGGATCAAATCCAAGCCCTAGTCCGGAGAAAACCTCTAGGCCTGTGGTACCGCTTGTGAGGGGAAAAGGGCCTCCTGATGATGGCTCCAGCAGCCTCCCTTGCAGGCAGCCCCAGGACCGGGTGTTGAACCAACACTCCGCTCCCACATGAATTTTAACCCCCACAGACCACATGCACCCTCTGAAAACCAGACCAAGCACTTCTGTTCTTCAAAAGCCAGATGCACATTCCCAGGTACATTTCACGTGTGCCATGTGGCAGAAGGGTTTTGTTAGCTACACAAGTCCCTACTGTAAATGCTCTCCTAAAGTTGCATTATTGTTGTAAAATACAGAGACTTTTCTCTAAACAAGCGGAATTGCTGGCTGTAATCCTGGCCCATACCCACGCTCCAGGTACGGCCTTGTTCAATCAACCACCCTGCACATACAGGCATACACCAATACATCTTGAAGTAGTACTGATAAATATGCTTAGCTTCAAAAGTTGCTCAGTGGTTCTGTAAGTACATGAGGAACCTCATATCATTAAACACCGGGCACAAAAAAGGTAACTAGAAAGGAAATCAAAACAAGCCTAGGAAATAAAACTAAGGTACACTTACTCTACAACCCACATGTAAGGAAGGATCATTGACAACAGTGCCAAGATTGCACTTCAGTTGTCAGAGATTCGAGGTCAGGGCTAAATTTTTATTTGTACCTTGCCCTGGTGTACTCATTCACACAGCAAAAGCACCAGTGAGCAATTCACCAGGAGACTACTTTCACCAAGCCTGACACCAGCATAACCCAACCTATTCGCCTTCATATGAATTAGATTAGAAACAGGCTCTGTATGTATAGATACCTGGACCTGAATTTTGGCCAATAAATGCATAAACTAGCTATGCTATTGCTTTGAATGCGATGCTTGCTAGGCTTCTCCCTGCCCCCTCTCCTCCCAAGTAGCAACAACAAGAAAACCCAGCAGCGTAGCCTATTGAGCACTTAATTATTTTTCTATCTCCAAGTATTACAGCAACCGGGGTCTGCTGACTTATCAGCATCTTCCAGGGACTGAATTCTTTTTACAGCCAGCAGTAATTCTCCATACAGAGCATTTCCAGGATTGGGTCTGAGGAGAAAGAGTTAATGGAAACCGACAACAACACTGAAGAGTTTAAACCCTTTGCCCTTTTATACTTTTTATTAATATGCACAGGCACCCCTCCCTGCTCTGGATTAGCAGGGTTTAAGGTTTCAACTTTTTACACTGAAGCTGGTTTTAGAGAACTGCAAAAGGGAGTCTAAAACTTTAAAATTTACTTATATGAGGTTTTTAGAAAGCTGCTCGTGTAACTAAAAAAATAAAAAATAAGTCACCCCAAAGTCATATTTTCCATCATGTTTCTCTCTAGCCGGAGTCTTTTATGTTAAATTTCAACCTAGAGTGAACTTTCACTGATGAGATGTAAACTCTTGTAAAAATAGGGGATTACACTCTATTTGAAATCCTGACAGACCCTTAAGCAGAGCAAGCTAACCTGTGCTACCACAGTACGGAATGAAGCAAGCTGGAGTGATTTGTGGGGCTGTATAATCAATCCGAGGATCAGATAGGATTTCAGTTCTTTTGCTCTTTCATATAAAGATAATTTGTTAAAACTGCCATCCTGGGATACAACAAGAAGCTGACATCTGTCTGCAGGCTCCACTTTTATTCTTTCCTTCTCAAAACATGCATGTGTCATGAATCAAGGTACTAGTGACTGCTATGGAACAAGCTGATTTTCCAAATTGCTGAACGAAATTCAAAACCTACTTCCAGTAACTTTGAAACGACAGGAAAAATGTGTTTTGTTTTAAAAAGCTTTCCTTTTTTTGGGTTCCTCAAGGAAAAAAGGAAAGAAAACAAAAAAAGCAGTATTTTTCCTTCTGCATGAAACCGTCTCTCCCCATTATGAAATTGCTGCCGCATGCTGTTAGAAGTCAAACATTTCTGTACTCTGTCTGCCATGTAAAAATTTCCCCAAAAGTATTTTTTTAAAAAGTAAACATGACGGCATTTTTGCAAGAATAAGGCGTATTCAACGGCCAAACATCTTGCTAAGCGTTTACTTCACGCTCCGCACCACTAAGCTGCTTTTGATAGGGGGCAGATGAGACACTTGACAGCACCCGCGCTCCAGGACACGAACAGGCGAGCGGTTTGCAGGAGCTCCCTGGGCGCCGAGCGGGAAACTCCTCTTGCAGTAATGCTGCTGACTCTCACAACGGCAGGCGAGCCACCCCCGCGCGCCAAACGGCAAAAGCTGTCTAATCTTGTTCTGTTTCAGCTGAATCGTTCAATAAAGTTTTAAGAGTAAGGGCAGGCAAGCTGCACCAGGCCAAATTATTGACAGAAACTTACGGTCCACCATGGCAACAAGTGGGACGCTATAGCAAAAATGTAAGCAAACAGCCCACTTCTCCAGCAGCATCTGCCAAAGGGGTTTACAGCCAAATACACAACAACTGTTACTGTTCTGCTCACGTTTTAGAAGTGGCCAGCTTTAGGGTCAAAAGAAACATCTGATTTACTAAAATCTTGAAGAGAGACGAATGCCAAAGTTAAAGGGACTGACCCTCCCTCATCTCCACCTGCTTCCGCTGGTGGGACCCCACTGACTCCAGCATAGTTCATCCCACCTTTTGCGGGTATAAGAGAGAGGGGTTAAATAAGAAAAGAAAAAAGAAAAAAAAAAAATCAGGCCTCAAGAGCAATCTGCATAAGCTTCTCTTTCCTCGTGTACAGCCTACTCTGTCTTAACAAGCCAGTAGCCAGAGACACGTGTTACAAGTGCCCAGCCTGGAACGATCACATTAATCCAAGGTTCTCCCATCCACTGAGAAATACCCGATTTAGTCCTGCTATTCTGATCAGAAGCAGTTTTTATTAGAAGTGCTGAGCACCAAGGAGCACCTCATTTAATCAACAAGCTTTTTCAAAAAAACTCACACTGGACAGCATGCCTGAATAAACGCACTTTTAATTGCTCAACTAATTTACCCAGAAAATTAAAAATCATGACAAACCAAAACCTTTTGCAAAAATCCATTAAACTTTCTTTAAACTTTTTTTGCTCTTTTTTTTATTGTAGACCAAGACAAAGTAGAAGCTTTTTTACTTCAAACCTCTTAAAGTCAGCAATTAAAAGAAGGTGAAATCTATTGATACACCACGCTAAAAATCAGTCTCAACACACTTCAGAGACACCCTCGCATAAACAAGACAACACCAGCCCAATTAAATCTGTTGATATATTAAGTTTCATCACTGCATTTCTGCATGCAACTTGCGGAGAGCATTACTGTCTCCTGAGCAATCTGCCGACACACTTCGGCTGGGTAAGAGAAGAGACAAGGTACTTACAACTCAGTCCAAAAGACCCTGGCTGATGCTCCCTCCAAGCTCTTCTCTTGACCAAAATTCTCTGGCTACCGGGACATGGGCATTCCTCCCTCTCTTTTCCTCTCTCTCCCCCAGTCTCCCTCCCTCTCTCTCAGAGGCAGTGCTTCTCCCATTAGAGGAATTAAAAGTGGTTGGTGCCATGCTAAATTTAACAAGCTCATTAGTATTCTTCCTGTGTGCTTCCTAGTGAACTCTCCCTATTGAAGCGGCTCTCTCTAGCTGAGGGGTCAGGCGGCTAATCATTAAATCAAACTAATGTCACCCTATCACAATCGGCCTAAGAGAAGGAGGGTTTATTATTTCAGTTTATGCTAAATAAACGGTTTTACAAATGGTCTCCAAGCAAGGTCAACAGCAGCTTCAATTACAAGACAAACTTAACAAGAGTCGCTATAAACCAAGTGCTCCATATTGACCTAAGCACAAGCTCGGCTCCACATATTGCCACTAGCAGGATTGTACAGGAATGCATATTGTAAAATAAAGGAAAGGGTAATCTTTTCTTTGCCAGAATTTGTGACTGCACAGAGACTGCTCATTCACCTCTCCCCAACCAGCTTGCTGCTCAGCTCAATTCACCCCACACAAAGGCTGAAGACCAGACCTCAATGGACCGAGTGAAACATGTTCAAAACTAGGCTCTCTATTGTGACTGAATTTCTTAACATCTTTTCAAAAAGCGGAGAATGCCTTGAGGCTAAAGGAAGAAACAGGCTAATGGTGAATTGGGAATACTGAGCAAATTTCAGAGCCCTTTCCTCCTAGCTTTTGAGGTTGAAAGCAAGCTCTTTCCTTTCAAGTTTCAAAGTCCTTTTTCCTCCCACAGTGTCACAGAAGGATT